CACTAAGCAAGTAGAGCTAGTAAGATTAACAGCATGATAGTCTTTTATGCTGGAGAGATGTTTGTTATGAAATTAGCCAAATTGTTTGTCTTCCCAGGTACCCTTTCGGTCTTAGCTTCTATGATTTGACCTTTTTGGACACGACAACGTTTCTTCAATTAGGTGTATTCCTCGTTTCAACGAAGCGAAAATATTTGTTGAATAAGAACTTCTACTTAAAAGCTATATTTAGTGCTTTCACAAAAATCCATCATCATATGACCTTATGACCGCAATCCTTTTGATGTTCAGCCGTGCCTATAGGGACGTGTTAGTACGCTGACGGAATGTTAATTTGGATCCGAATGTTTTTATCCCTAATAAAAAAAGTCGGGGGTCCTCGTCGTCCCTTTTTGGGTTTGAAATCATTGTTTTGGTCCCGCTTAGGGTGATAATGACGAGAATTCCCACCAACTGAGTTTTGTGGCCTTTTATTAGGGTATACGACGACCCTAATAAGCCGCCATCATATCTTTCTATACGACATCGTCAAAACGACGGCTTATGSAAGTCATGGAAATAACTCAACGCATGCGCAATTGCTCCCCCTCTCTCATTGACATRGACATTGCGGCTGTGACAATCAGCATCAAAAATATCTGTCATCCAATAATTTCTCTTTATTTCATGGATTTACAGCGTTCCCTCTAATATCATACATACTACAGCACGTGAAACCATTACTGCTACAATCACACTACATTTACCGAAATGCCGGCTGCAATGGAGGTGGGGTTGCTWTCTCAGCTCCTGACACTGGAAGTGGAGGGAGAGTGGGAACCTTGTCTCCGCTTCCMCCTGGGAGCGGAGGAAGCGTAGGAATTTTACCCCCGCCCCCACCTGGAAGGGGTGGAAGAGGAGGAATCGTACCTCCACTTTCCCCTGGGAGATGAGGCAAAGTTGTGGGCTCGGGGGATGAGGTAGGAAGATTACCAGTCAAAAAATTGATCCAATGCAAATACCTCGTTACGTTTGCGTAAACACCATATTTAAGTGCTCGCGCACATCCCTTACCCCAGCTCGTTACCCCAACTAGGGTCCACTGCTTGGGGTTCTCTGGGTTCTTACATACGAATGGGCCCCCGGAATCCCCTTGGCATGAATCGACACCACCCTGTCTCATCCCCCCACACAACATGTTGGGGGTTATTTTGTTGCCGTAGGACTGCCGGTGTCTACACAAGTCATGTGATACGATGGGGACTTTGGCTTGCATCAGAACCTAGATGAAAAAACGTTTTAGCGC